AGTACCCCTTGTAAGTTTATGTATGCAATGGCCATGCCTTGTCTGGCAAACACTGTTTTACTGCAGTGGTCCAGTAGTTCCGGCTCTTACAAGTTTTCTTCCTCCTCTTCCACAATGACCCTTGAGTTATGGGGAAAGGGAACATGATATATGTGCCCCATTTAAGGATTAGCATGCCAAAATCTTTTATTTTTTTCAAGTTGACCGGTTGTGCATTTCTATTTTAATTACCATCTTCTGCAAAAAGAAGCTTCTCTAATGACAGCTAAGAGATGCTATTTATACAAAAATAAGAATTTAGGGAGCAGATTGTTACTATTTAGCAGAATAATAGTACTATGTTATCCACTAGGGCCTATAGCCTAGCCAGCCATGAGTTACTTGGTCTAGTTAATGTTACCAGGTATGAGTTCCACCTTTTGAAATGGAATTTAAATATAATCAATCAGACTATGGTTGGTTAATCCAATAGCACTTGTGCCGCTATTGTATCAATGAATATATCTTGCCAGGCCAGTCATTATTATAGCACCCAGGGTTCACAACTGGGTAGGACTGTTGATTATGTTTATCCTGATGTAACATGCATAGAAACTTCCAGTGTCATGACACCTAGCCATTAGAGATGAAGCTTCCAGGTTGGCACCAGCTTAATTTCTTCATGTCTTATGTGCTGTCTTCAGTAATAAGGACTTATAATCAAGTTCAAGTGGATAACCAAGAGCAATTGCAATAGCCTGTAATAATTGGGGGGGGTGATCTCTGGGACTCCACTTATCAGTAATTGGAAAATATATAATCAGTACCTAATACTGAGCTTTTTATTTAGTAGCATATGATGTCTGGGAGAGGCATTCTCACCCTGTTATAGGGTAACTCCATTTAAACTCCTTTTGTATAAATATATACCCTAGTAAGCTTCTATAGTAGTAAGTTTTCATATGACTTTTTCCAAAGGCTTTTAGTATTAGATATCCCTCCCTATACTCCCTCCTCTAGCCTACCCTCCCATCCTCCAGGCCACGTAACCCTTCTTGCTCCATTGTTCTCCTTTCCCCCTTCATACCACTTGCATTCTATCTCCCTTCCTTTGAAACCCTCCCACTATCTTTACTAATTTCTTGTATTCTATGAGTATATCTGAGCATATCTAGCACTCAAATATGAGACAGAATATGTTACATGTGTCTATCTGGATCTCTGTTACGTGACTAAGAATGATTGTTGCCAGTTCCATCCATTTACCTGTGAATTTCACAATTTCTTTATTAAGAATTTTTATTTATAACCACATGATTAGAAAAAGCATTTCATTACAACAGAATTGACATATTCAATAACAATTTCCAGAGCAAAGATATATCTCTTTCAAAATTGGGTGTAAATTTTTAGGTTCACAGTTGAATTAATACAGTTATACAATATTGTACTCAGTATAAACCCTGTAAGACATAAAATTGAATGAGGTTTTAACCTTTAAAAAATCTCCATTTCATTTTAAAATATACTGATTCACAGAAAAACTCATTTTTAATGCAACTAACACTTAGATGTTTGCACATGTATCTCTAATCTCTACACGTCTGATTATACTAGTCACAGTCACTTTCTGAGATCCTTGGCATGTGAGCATGGATATAAAGTCATCAGGAGGATTTCAATGGTAATGTTTTTCACTTCTACTAATTAACATGAAGCAAATTTTTATGCTTATTCCTCAAATATAACTAATTTTTTTATTTATTGATTTGTGTGTGTGTGTGTGTGTGTATTTCATACAGAACATCCCAAACAATCTTATTTATCTGTATACCCAGGACTTTTGACTTATCTTTGCATAGATAGAACTGGTAAAAGAAAGGAGCCAGGGGCTCCTCCCAAGCACATGTGACCCCTGAGGAACAGATCCTTAAATGAACTTAAGAGTAAAAATAAGTTGCTTTATCTTGGCCAACTGTATGGTCTTAAACACCCAAAATGAAAGTATAAGCAAAGAATTTCACAATTTTATTTTTCTTTATAGCTAAATAAAATTGCATTGTGTATATGTACCATATTTTCACTATCCATTCATCAATTGATAGACATCTAGGCTGTTTCCATTTGAATGAAACAAGAGTGAACATTTAGGACTAAGTGTTTCTGTAGTAGGATATGGGTTCCTTTGGGGAAATATGCCCAGGAGTTATACAACTAGATCATATGATAGATCTTTTCCTAGCTTCTTGAGGAACCTCAACATTGATGTCCATATTGAGTTTAACAGTTTGTAATACCACCAACAGTATATACAAGTTTCCGTTTTTGCCACATCCACACCAGCATTTATTGTCATTTTTTTTCAGTCTTAGCCATTCAGACTAGGGTAAGATAAAATCTCAAAGTATTTTTATATGCATTTCATTGATATTTAAGAATGTTGAACAAGGGATTGGAAAGATAGATAGTTCAGTGGTTAAGGGCACTGACTGCTCTTGTAGAGGACCCAGGTTTGAATCCCAGCACCCACATGGCAGCTCACAACTATCTGTAATTAGAGTTCTCAAGAATCCAACACCCTCTTCTGACCTCCGTGAACATTGCATGATGGGGTGCACTTACAGGCATACACTCATGCACAAAAAATAAAAATAATAAATAAAATTTTAAAAATGTCGAACATTTAAAAATATTTCAAGGCCATTTGGATTTCTTTATTTTAATTTTTAATTATGTGTGAATATGTATTTCTGTGTGGCTATGTGCATGTCAGTATAGGTGCCTGCAAAGGTCAAAAGAAAGCATCTTATCCCTTGGATTTGGAGTTATAGGTAATTGTGAGCTGCCTGACATACACTCTAGGAATTAAACTCCAGCACTCTGCAAGAACAGTACATGCTCTTCACCACTGAGCCACCTCTCCAGTCCCTATTTGCATTTCTTTTTTGACAGTTCTTTTTAGTTCCCTGCCCTAATTTTAATTGAGTAATTTGTTTTCTTGGTGTTTATTTTTCTTTTTTTTTTTTTTTTTTTTTTTTTTTGTATATTCTGTTAGCTATATAGCTTCTAAATATTTTTTTTTTCCTGTTCGGTAGGCTGCTTCTTCACTTGAATGATCGGTAGGATTAATATTGTGAAAATAGCCATCCTACAGAAAATAATCTACAGAGTTGATGTAATCCCTATTACTATTCAAGTGAAGTTCTTCACATAAATTTTAAAAAAATCTTAAAATTCATTTAGAAACACAAAAGACCCAGGATAGCGAAAACAATTCTGAACAATAAGAAAGCTGCTGGAGGTATCACTGTCCCTGATTTCAAGTTATACTATAGAACTATGGTAATAAAAATTACATGGTGCTGGCATACAAGCAGACACATTGATAGAACACAATGGAGGACCTGGGAATAAATCCACACACCTATATAGCGACCTGGTTTTTGACAAATAGGTCAAAAATTCACATTAGAGAAAAATAACATTCTCTCTTTATTGATTTATTTTTATTTTTTGTGTTGTGGGTGTTTTTCCTGCATGTAAGTGAACTCATGTGTTTTAGTGCCCATGGAGGTCAGATGAAGGCTTCACATCCCCTGGAACTGGAGTTATGGATGGTTATTAGCTGGTATGTGGATACCAGGAACTGAATCTGGATCCTCTGCAGGAGTAACCAATCCCCTTAAACTCTGAGTCATCTCTCCACAAATGTTGCTGATAACATTGGATAGCAGCATGCAGAAGAGTGAAACCAGATCCCTATCTCTTACCCTATATAGCACTCAGTTCCAAATGGATCAATGACCACAACATTAGACCTGTTGCCCTGAATCTGTTAGTGGAAATCATTGCAAATATACTTCAGCTTATAGGCACAGAAAAAGACTTTCTGAACAGATGTGGGTGATGCAAACATTAAGACCAAATGACAAATGAGATCTCTTGAAAACTAACTAGATTTTTTTATGGCAGTTTATTACATTGAGGTATTTGCTCTTCTTGGTTTGCTTGTGGTTGATTTTAAATTAGTCCCCTGAAATGCTTATTCTGCATTGGTTGACTCCATCATTGTATCCATTAATTTAATAATTTGGTGATTTGCACTTGGATAAATCACTTATTTATAGTACGTTGTTCTTTGTTCTATCTTACTTGCTTTAAAATCTGTATATAACTCTATTTGGACTTTTCGTCTAGGAATTTCTATGGCCTGTTTTTGTCTTCTGTAATTCTTTTCATGTTTTATATTCTCATGCATCAGGTAAGTTTTGATTGAACACTAATCAATATATAAGAAAAATTTAAGGATTAAAGTTTTACTTTTAATGCATTTAAAATTTACAGACAAATTGAACAATCAGAGTAGTACGAAGAAGAGACATGTTGTTTAACCCAGATTTACCTATTAACATTTCACTATTTTTCTTTGGTCATTTGACTATTCTCTTCCTGTTCCTAACCACTCTCCTCTTCCACTTTTCAGTGTTTTTTTGAATACATTTTTACTTCAGTATTATCTCATACATATCTTTGCCTCCTTAGCTCTTAATACTCTAAGGTTTACTTCTCAAAGGAAAATGTCAATATGAAGATAATTTTGTAGATTTGGTCAATAATTTTTAGGAAAATTCCACTACACACACACACATAATTTTGCTCATTTCATTAGCAGAATATGTTGTTATTTTGTCATTGCCAGAAGTAGAATCTCTGGTCTATGTCTCCCCATGACCCAGTACTAGAATTTTATTTGCCATAGTCTGTTTATTACTGGTAATTTCAGTCTCCCTTAACTATTACTTTGTTCCAGAATTGTGTTACTCTTTCCACATACTCATTTTTTTCTATATGAATTTTATAATTTCTTTTAATGTTTTTGTTATTAAATTTTGAGTCATTTAAAACTAATTGGCATTATCTTAATATTATTGCATAGGAACAAGATCTGCCTTTCTCTTATGTCAAGACTTCTTTTGGGATCCCAAATAGCCTTTCTTTTTCCCTTTTTCCTCTCTCCACAGCAAGATGGATTCTGGATATATTCTGAATATTGTAACAACCACCTGGATGCCTGCATGGAACTCTCCAAGCTGATGAAGGACAGCCGCTACCAGCACTTCTTTGAGGCCTGCCGCCTCTTGCAGCAGATGATTGACATTGCTATTGATGGTTTTCTTTTGACTCCAGTGCAGAAGATCTGCAAATATCCCTTACAGTTAGCTGAGCTCCTTAAGTATACTGCCCAAGACCACAGGTAATGGATTTAGGGACACTAAAGTGAACTTCTTTTAAACATTTGTGCTTTTTGAAAATATATAGCCTTTTGCTGTTTCTGAGCTACTATTTCTTTATTGGAAAAATAGCATAAATTATTGCTTATCTCACAAGGCTGCTGTGGGTAAAGTGAGGGTAGACACTAAAGATTTGCTTATAAAGGTATAAATCAGTATGCACACAAAATCATATACTTTGTCACATTATATAGCCTATACCCTACTTTCAGGGAATAGAGATCACAGCTGGCTTCTTCATGCTAAGCTCAACCCCATGAATCAACCCTGACATAGTAACTGCTCAGCTATGTTTCAGATTGCTTTAAAGACTCAGATGTCGTGGTAATATTCTACCCAATTAGTACTACCCCTATATTCTTTCTGTGAGGCTACTACCCATGTTTGCCTCTTTAGCTTTTCTACATTTTGTGCCCCAACCCACTGTACATCTTATGTAGACCTAGAGTATAGTGGAAAGAAAGCAGACTTGAGATTTTCCCTGAAGTTTTTGTTTTAAGTTTTTAAATATCTCCTTTAAAATACTTTATTATGTGTTTGTGTGCGTGCACAAATGCACATTTGCCCATTTGATTTTATGTGCATCATGTACACAGAAGAGCCCCCAGAGGCTGGAATAGGGTGTTGAATTCCCTGGAACTTGAGTAATAAGCTGTTGTGAACCCCTATGTGGCTACTAGGAACCCAGGTCCTCTTCAAGAACAGTAAGCACTCTGTTTTTAAACCGGGTCTCACTATATAACGCTTGTCTTGAACTCTATATATAGACCAGCCTGACCTTGATCTCACCTGCTTCTCTCTCTACATACTGATTGAAGACATGTACCACCACAGTTTTAAAATACTTTTAAGGAAACTAGCCCAATGAGAGCTAAGGAGGTTACGTCTTTAAATGAAAATGATACTTTTTATTACTTATCAGTAAGATATGTGTTGAAAGTAAATCCCACTGATGGTTAGAGTTTACAGTAAACCACCCCCACAATTTCTCATAACTTGCCTCAGAATTTAGACTCAGAATGTTTCTGGCTTGCCATTATCCGGTATTAAATTTCTGACTTTGGATGTTTTGCCTCAACTCTTAGTTCTCATTCTTACATTGAACATTCCAGGACGAAATAAAGCCCTTGCCCGATTTCCCTTAATTTTCATCCTATTATTAGGCCTATTTCATACTTTCATTTGGCTTCATTGCCTGGTTTATTTGAGACTGATTCCAAGTATAGATGCCTAAGACCATCGTGATGGATAATCTCTCACTTGTAGAATTTCTTCTGTCATATTAGCCTATGGGCTTGTCTGTGGGTGTGGAGGGGGTTCCTTGATTGCTAACTAATGTAGGAGTGCCCAGCCCACTTTGAGAAATACCATCCCTAGCAGATGTGAGTAACCTGTAAGAAAAGCCATGGAAAGCAACCAAGCCAGGATATAGCATTCCTGCATGATTTTTGCTTCAAATTCCCATCTTTTCATCCTGCCTTGACTTCCTTTGATCATGGACTATAAACTTTAAGTCAAATAAACCCTTTCCTCCACAAGCTGCTTTAGGGTTGATGGTATTTTTTTTTTTTTGGTCTTTTTTGAGACAGGGTCCCCCTGTAGCTCCAGCTGTCCTGGAACTTGCTATGTAGACCAGGCTGGCCTTGAACTCACAGAGATCCGCCTGCCTCTGCCTCCTGGGGTCATAGTGTTTTTATCACAGCAACAGAAAACAAACTAGGACAGCCATGGTCTGGTTTGGTTTATGTTAAACTTCTAGGCTAATCCTTAGAGTCATTCTTTTAAAACTGATGTTGCTTCTTTAGCAAATTATAAGTCATGTGCTTCAGTGGTTCTAGAATTGTAAATGAATTTCCTATTTTAACCCAGATGAGGTAGCACTGGACTTTTCCTTTCACATGAATAACAACGCCAGTAGCAGATCTGCCTTCTATGACCTATTAGCTGTGAGAGGCAGATGGAACAGGAAATTGCCAAGGCAAAACCTGTTCTTTCCTCCCTGAGGCAGATTAATAGCCCAGATCTGTTGTGGGTACCTTAGACTTCAAATTTGAAAATGACTAAATCCTGCCTTGTGTTAGTCAGTTTTTCATAGCTGTGATAAATATCTGAGAGGAACAATTTAAATGGCAAAAAGATTAATTTTGTCTCATAGTTGCAGAAATTTCAGTCCATGGTTGCTTTGTTCCATGTTTCTGGGCTTATGTTGAGGCAGAACATCATGGTGGGAAAGGTATGATGGAGGAAAGCTGACTGTTCACCTCAGGTTGGCCAGGAAGCAGAGAGAGAAGGTAAAAGGGTCCAGGAACAACATACAGCCTTCAAAGACAAGCCACCAGTGACTTAAATTCTTTAGCTATGTATTAATCCCTGAATTTTACAGGACCTTCAGAAATAGTGCTACCAGATAGGGAACAACCATTTAATTTATGGTTCTGTGAATGATATTTCATATTTAAATTATAATTCACTTCAGCAGAGTTGGTATAGCCCATTATCAGAACTGAGTTCCATATTTTCTATGTGTAGTTTTTCTCTATGTGGTGCTGGGGCTTGAACATACAGTTTTGTGCATGTTAGGCAAATGCTCTACCAGTAGGCTACAATTCCAAGCCAGATATGTTTTCTTAGAAGGTTAAGAAGAACATTGAATGACCCTTACTAAAATTAAGGTATTTGAAAATTAAGAGTAGAAAATGCATATTCTACCAAGAATAAAAGACTATACTATCCCTTTTAGTCACATTCTTTTCATTCTGTAGCTGGAAAAGACTGAGGGCCAGAAAAGAAAAATGACAGAGAACAGTCTTTTGAAGCAGAGATACAAAGCATAAACAGTACTCATAGAATGTATTTTTTAGAGTTCTCCAGGTAGTTGTCATTCTCAGGTGGTTCTGGGCTGTATAAGAATGGTAGCTGAGCAAGAGAGTAAGCAGGGGTTCCTCCATGCTCTCTGCTTCAGTATCTGCTCCAGGTTCCTAACTTGAATTCTTGCCTTGCCTTCCTGGATCATGGATGTTTCCTCCTCAGGTTGTTTATGGTCATGATGTTTATCACCGTAACAGAAAGCAATGAGTACATGCTAATACTAGAAGAAACTAAGCCATAGGTTTGGAATCTAGACTCAAACTATTCATGCAGTAAGGACATTATGCTCATACAGTTATTTCAGGCTGCATTTGACTACTGTTTGTCTAGTATTAACAATTGAAAGTGGAGTAGTTCAATTAGTATTTGGAGTAATCCTTGTTGATGAAACTCCTTCCCTGAGGGAGAGGCAAATAACACTCATACATACATACACACACACACACACACACACACACACACACACACACACACACACAAATCATGCCTCCCTTGGTCCCAATGACAATTCAAGGTACAATTCCACCAAAGTTCATTCTGCATAATCAATGAGTTTATTGGGCTTATTTGAAGAGCATAGATGAGGGGTTACTTACAAGACTATGTGTGCTCCCCCCCGTCCCCTGAAGACCATACTGGAATTTCTGACAGGAGCAGACAGGAGCATGGATAGAGAAAAGAAAGGCAGAAGACAAAGTCATGACAAACAATTTTTTTCAGGTCTCAGGAAACTATATTATGATGGCATGAGCAGCTTATAGCCAATTAGTTTGCTGCTACTTTAGAGGCTGAAGATGAAGATTGGATGAAGAGTGATAGTGAACAATGCTCCATTTACTGGTGGAGGCATGACATAATTATCCCTTCCTTAACCTTGCAAGAATGAAGGCAATATTCAACAGGAGAGTTAGCTGATTTGTCTAAAACTAGAAACTGGTTCCATCACTCACACACAGGCATTCATCTGAGGACCCAGGAAATCTGACCAGGGTTCAGGCTGGACCACAGCTATTTTCTGCTTCTTTCATTTACCTTTAAAGCTACTGGGACAAGTTAGATAAAATAACATTTCTCTTCTAACAATTTTTAAAAGGCAGCCATCTGAAAATGGCAAAACTAGTTACTATAGGACATTATTCATGATTGGCTAATATTTTAGGTCAGGCACAACATTGACTTAGGGATTAAATAATTCTTGCATTTTGTAATGAATATTTTCATGCCAGCACTATCCAACTGAACTTTATCTTTGTGTGACCATTGAATAATTAAAATCAGCTAATACAACTGAGGGACTACATTTTTAATCTTATTTAAATTTCATTAAATGTAATTGCTGTACCATACTGGACAGTATAGCTCTATGATTACCTCCCAGAAAGTGTATTAAAACACTGATATCCTCAAATCAGCTAAATGAAGGTCATTGAGGATAGGGAAATTGGTCCAAAGAACTGAAATACTTTTGTCATTACCCTACCCTGTTTCTAAATGGTAGGCTCAGACAGTCTTGCCAAAGAGAAACTTTAACAATGTTAGATAGCCTAATGGACCATCCATAGACAACCAAGCAACTGTGAAAGGATTAAATATAACAGGTACAAATGTGAAGCATTGCAATTAAAATCAAGAAATCAACAGTTTAAGAACAGGGTAAGAAATATAGCTTCTAGAAAGCATGTTTTGAGCAGAGTTAGAAAGTGTTATTAGTTGACAATAAGCTCAATATGATTCATAAGTAAAGTTCACCAGGGAAACTGGTAATAGCTAACATTCATTAAGTTTCACAAGAAAGAAGATTTCTAACAGAGCTTTCTTGAGAAAGAATAAATTGGTTAAAAGAAAGCCTATCACTATAAGGGATCAAATGTAAGTGTTTGAGGTCCATGGTTCTGGAATGTGTTCAAGGAACAAATTGGAGACATGTATATTGCCTTAGGCTTATGTTTGTTCCATCACCCCATTCTCCATTACATTAAGAAGAAAGCAAATCCTTTTACATCTTTTCTTATTTCTTTTTCTAGTCAGTGCAAGGAAACGCAGGAAGTTAATGACCATAAACGTTCTGCTTAGCTAGGGAAAGGAATTAACACTGAACTATAATACATCTCATTGTCTTCTTAGCTCGTTCTCTATCAAATGACTGAGATCTCACATTCAATCTGATTTTCACAGGAGCTACTCAATTAGAAATGAGATCAGAAAAACAAAATATTCTCTGAAGTGATATGACTCTCAACATACAGGTTATCTCATGTCCCCAGAACCTGAGATGTAGGTTGTACTTTAGGAACAAAGATTTCCCAGGGAGGCATCCCATATAATGCCTACTAGAGAAATATTTGATTTGTAATAACAATACTAATAACACCTGTGTATCAAAGTAAAATGGTATATATAAATGTGTATATTTAATTTAGTAAACCCCTCAATAAAATCTACCCAAATTCTCCCATTTTACACATAAAAATCTTGAATCCAGTGGGAATGACTGATACTTGATAAAGGTCATACAGCTAATTAATGATAAAATTAGGGTGTGAGCTCATGGAATCTGGCTTAAAATTCTACGTTCTCATGCATTATGTTGTAGTCCATCTCCATATTGTGCCAGAAGAAGTGTGGGGATCTTATTCCACAGTGATTATAGGCAAAGGCTTCTCAGAAAAAGAGGTTTTCGGGACTATGCCATATATAATGCTTCTTTCTTGGTCCTTGTCTGGTTTTATCAGACAGAATACAAATACAGAGGTTTAAAAGAAAGGTGTCTGTTTCTCCTGTGAAAGAAATCCTTAGGTAGGAGACCCATGACTATTACTGTGTCTGCATGACTGTAAGTCACATAGTCATCCTCACTAAACAGAATGAAAAAATGCAGTTGTTTACTCTAGGTGTGGATTACCTTTTGAAAATCAACACTGCTACCGAGGAAGAGGAGAATGAATTTAGGACTGGTATTTTGCACGTTGGGTCATCCAGCTTGTACTCTTGTGTCTTCACAGTGACTACAGATACGTTGCAGCTGCTTTGGCTGTCATGAGAAATGTTACTCAACAGATCAACGAACGCAAGCGTCGTCTGGAAAATATCGACAAGATTGCTCAATGGCAGGCCTCTGTCCTAGATTGGGAGGTAGGACCTTTATCAACCGGGATTTTGGCAGGTCTAAGTAGCTTGTTAAAAGATCGCCAACTAAACCATGGATTAATAAAGAGCTATTAGCTTTAAAGAGCATCAGGAAAGATTTGTATTATATCCAAGGGCAAAGCTTCCTGCTAAGGAAAAGGGGTATTTATTGATTTTAAGATATTCTCTGAGGGCTCGAGAGATGGTTCAGTGCTGGTGCTCTTCCAGAGGACCTGGATTCAATTCCCAGCACCCACAAAGTGTCTAACAACTGTCTATAACTCCAGTTCTAGGGGATCTTGACACTTTCTGACCTCCATGGACATTGCATGCTTATGGTGTACTTACATACATACAGAGAACACTCAACACACATAAAATAAAAATAAAAAGATATTTTTTAAAAGTCACACAATGTGGTCTTGTTTATATCCATGTAGGCTAGCAAAGTATTTCTTTCCCTATTTGTGAGATCACCTCATCCCAGTATATCTATTAGAATATTGAAGCTTGCATATATAGGTCATAACTGTCATCACTGACAAATACAAAGGCCAAACTCTAATTTCAGCAGCATCTAAAAGTAATCTCTGACTACTAGGCATCCCAGTATAGACTCCTACAGCTTCTTTGAACTTAGAAAGGGAGTAACTGAAGTCATTCAAGCCTTTCTTCTTGAATGCCCACAAATAATACCAGGAGTATTAACATTTCACATTTATCTTTCAGATGAAAGTTGTACAATCTGATAGTCTATAGGCTGACATATCCAAGATGAAAAATGGTAGGCAAGACGTGATGTTCTTAAACCTTTTAGTTTAGTACAGAGGTATAGTATGGTATATCCAACACTTTTTTCACTGGCTTCAACTTACACATAATTTTCTGTGTTTAAATGGCAATATTTCTTTTAAATTTTCAAATCATTTACCCTATTTGAAGGGGACCATAACAGTCTTAACAAAGAGTTAACCAAGATTCAGACAAAAATACTTTTTCTGCTATCTCTGTTCCTTCTAATGTAGATGACTGAAAAACACCAAAATTATGATCAATTGACATTTTTTTCTCTTTTGATGGAAAATGTTCACCTAAGTGTAGAATAGCAGTGATTACTTGAGATATGGAAAAGTGAATGTATCTATATAAGTCAACCCTCTTGCTTATAAGGAGAAGTCATCACTGGCCAAGATATACTAGAAAATAATAGATTCTCCTTTACTTATATCTTTATTCCCTGTATCCATTTATTTTATTAGACTCAGGGAGCTGGAAAAAATAACTTTAAGCAAGCCTGTCAACCAAGGTACTCTGAAGTTGTTTCTATCCACTTTGTATATTTCACTGTAAGGAAAAAAACCAGAAACAGTTGTCATTCTATACTTCAGAATCTTTTACTTATTTTCTGGAACATTCTCCTCCTTCTTATTCTTCCATATGCTGCTCTGTGTCTCCAGTATTGGAGAGATGAATAATTTGAAAACTTTTGACCTACTCAGGCAACTTTATTTATATCCAATTCCATAGCTCTGAGCTATGGTTTAAAGAATCATCATCTCAGTTGGGGAAGGTCAGTCAGTGGACACATAAAGTCAATTCTGATAGTGTTTGTGCTGAGGTGGGGGGAGGGAAGATGGAGGTGGAAAGAGGGTGAAGGGAGAGAGAAGAGGATAAGGAAGGAGAGAAGATTTCGAGGGAGATCTTGGAGACTGTCTTGGACAAGCCTTACACATCAAGAAGTGATGTTTTCCAATCTGCCACTCCCCTGCTTCTCAGATTCTTGAACAAACAGGGTTGCTGTAAAAAAAAAACATTCTCATCATATTTTCAGCTTTACTCATCAAATGAAGAACAGAAATCACAGGAAAAACCTTCAGAACGTAATCTCCCTTAAGAGGAAATGGGAGGATTAGTAACATGAAGGCAGTTGTTACCAGACTATCTGACTAGAGAGCAGAAAGTTCAACATTAAATTAAGGTCTGTCTCTCCTTCCTCATATTTTTTCCACATATATTCAGAGTTTCTTTCCCTAACTCTGGTTACTATCTCAAACACCTGTCATATCTTATGGAGGCTACCCAACCTGTCATGGTTCCTGAAAAATAAGGAAGTGAAAAAGTGTCATATATTCCTTTAAGTGATTATAACTTTTAAAAGTATAGGCAGGCGGATCTCTGTGAGTTCAAGGCCAGCCTGGTCTACACAGTGCTTTCCAGGAGAGCTGGGGCTACAGGGAGACCCTGCCTCAAAAAAAAAAAAAAGAAAAAAAAAAAAGAATGGGGAGGTAGAAAGGAGAAGAACCTGTTTTTAACCCTTGTGGGTTAAACAATTATTGAGGGAAACCTGAAGCCTAACAGAATCTTGCTATTAAGTACAAAAATTATGTTTATAGTATCATTTCTTTTTTTGAAGGGGAGGGAATTTCAATGAAAAATTATATAATGAGCTGGGTGTGGTGGCACATGCCTTTAAATCCCAGCACTTGGGAGGCAGAGGCAAATGTATCTCTGTGAGTACAAGGCCAGCCTGGTCTACACAGTGCTTTCCAGGAGAGCTGGGGCTACAGGGAGACCCTGCCAAAAAAAAAAAAAAAGACAAAAAGAAAAGTATGGAGTAGTAGAAAGGAGAAGAACCTGTTTCTAACCCTTGTGGGTTCTAGAATGTTTCCATTTCTAATTTCTATGATTCTAAGATTTGGATGAACTGTCACTTTTCCATCTTTCACATTAAATCATTTTACACAAAGAGAAAGGGAATAAACATATCCCTGATAGCTTCTTTTATCTTTTAATTTTTTCCTGAAGACTTTCAGCAGAAACTCATATTTGGTAGCTAGATTACATTGATATAATTTCCTCTATATGGTACTGCTCCCTTTCTTGTCTGGTTGTGTAACACCCAAGGTCTTTTGCCAGTTTAACAATGAATTGTGAAATTCAAAGAAGTTGGAGGAACTAACATTAATAAAACAATGTGATAGGTGCAAGAAAAATAACTTTAAAAGTGAAAGAGAGTCTCCATCACTGCCCTCAGTGACCCTGGGGGCTGGTCCTAGGGCTGCTGAAGTTCATTCATCAGCTTGTTTATCAGTGAGTCCTTTGGTGCATCTAGACCTCAATCACTGAAAACTCTCACCCTGGCCAAGTGGGTAACTTTATGGTGTGGGATGGACTGTCCTAGAGTTTAAGGAATTTGCAGCGTTGCCACTCATTCAACTTGGTAATGACTGGATCTGTGCTCACTTCACTAATTAAAAGCCACTGTTCGCCAAGCCCTTATTTCATAAAAAAAAAAAAAAAAAAAAAAAAGTGAAAGAGAGTCGATGAGGTATACTCCTAGAAGATTAATTCTGAGATCAGGTAGAATTTCTACTTCTCTGTACTTATGTCAATAGGCATCACCGAAGATGGTTGAACTGGTTGGAAAAGATGAAATTCCTTTTGCCTTTCATTCAGGATTATTCAAACTTTTGGCATTGGAACATGACATTGATATCTGCAAATGTGTTGTGTCCCACACACAGTTGCCCTGGGAGGCACGCTGCTCATGGATCATAGTTTGGAAATGTCTGCTAGGTTGTTCAAGATACAGCCCCAATATTAATTAGCCTATAATCAGATGAGGTGTAATTGAACAAAATGAGTTGTTAGAATTAGAATGAGACAACGTCTCTTCCTTGAGACTTTTGCTTCACATGGAAGATGAATAACTAAAACTTTAGGTATTGGTTAGTGGCCACTATCAATTAATTGACCATCAGCATATCTTTTGAACATCACCTCTGTGCTTGGTTCTGTGCCAGCCGATGGGGATATTGAAATGAGCGACATATGGCGTTATTCGTCTTGGGTGAATAGCTACATTTCTCGCCAAGTGAACTGTGTGAGGTAAGTGATGGAAGAAAGCAGAAGACCCATAGAGGCAGTGGGAAGGGGTTGCACTTTGGGGGGCAAGATAAAGAGATGTGTGCTACAAGTGAGGGAGAGGAGTCAAAGCTCTGAAGAATGAGACAGTTCTTTTCCTTTTGCGAATTTAGCAAAATGATTTGGTACTTTAAAGCAGCCACGTGGAGTGGATCTAACAGGAACTCTTATATTGTTCCCACTGTAAATGAGGGACAAGATTGAGAATGCGTAATCTACTTTCCAAGGACACAGAATGAGTTGGTAATATCATTAGATGTGGAACACAGATTTTTTTTTAAATTCTCACCCCACAAATCTTCCATTGCAGTTGATTGTTCTGCTGGGCAAGGTATCATCATTCCAATGAAGTTTTGTGGTTAGTCACTTGGCTTTGGAGAGAGTCTGAACTTGATTGTGCCCCAACTGGATAAATTATTTCTAATTCCTCTAATTAATGATTTGGGGCAGAATCACATTTTATCCCTCATCAGTTTGCTCTATTAGAAGGAAACAGGAACTATACAATATCTGGGGCTCATAGTAATACTCAAGATAAAGCTTCACATATGGAGAGTTTGCAATGTGATGTATACATTCCTAAGGACTTTATATATGTTAGTTTAAATATTCTTCACAACATCAAAAAAAGTTGGTAATGTTATATCCCCTATTAAGAATGATGAAACTAGCCAGACCTGGTGGCACACATCTTTAATCCCAGCATTTGTAAGGGAGAGGCAGGCAGATTTCTGTGAGTTTGAGGCAGGCTGATCTACATAGTGACTTATAGTTTAGCCAGTAATATAGAAGTGAGACAAAAAGGCAAACAAAAAAGAATCATGAAACTGAGGCACAATGTGACTGTAAGGTATAGCTTAGTGAGCAGAGAAGTGTATTTTTCTCAACATTTTCTCTACTTGGCATTACACAAAACAAATACTAAAATAGAGTTGGTGTTACCTGGTTGAGAAAATACTGAGTAGTTCCCTGGCTCTGATCATCCCCAGTTCAGAAAATAGTACCTTATATATGATCGAAACATTTTTTATGAAATCCTCAAAGAATTGAGAACCAATTTTTAAAATATCTTTAAATCTAGCCATTGTGGCACATGTCTATAATCTGAATTATATAATCTGAATTGGGAAGCCGAGTGAGGAGGACTACACATTTGAGATCACACTGTGCTACAAACCAAGTTCCCGTCTTGCCTGGACTGTGTAGTTAAGATCCTGCCTCTAATTTAGCCATGTTTTCAATCAACACATTATTGCTCCCCTTTTATGCCTTTTTTCATTTTATACATATTAAAAGCAGGTTATGGCATGTCTTCCTATTTTATATCAGGATGTGGGCATGGTAAACTAGTACCATGCTTTGTTTTGATCCCTCATACAATCCAACTCTGAGGAGAGTTCTGTCCCTGCCCCAGTTCACCAAAGGTTTTTTGTTATTATGTCAGCCTCTCAGGAAGCATTATTTAAGCACTTCTTGGATAGTCCTGCTACAAAGCCCCAATCCTGAAGTTAAAGCACTATTACTTTTTGGTTGTGAGACTGGGGGTTTAATGGCTGTGGCATCAGAACTTGTGACAGCATGCACAAGACCTTTGCAAGTGTGAACCAGACAAAACCACAACATGGATGGGAGAGGTGGGCACAATGACCTATTTCTAGATGAATAATTGTTGTCAACTGATATCTATTGGTAGAGGGAGATTCAGTTTTCTTTAAAGGTGTGACACCTGGTACATTGACCAGGATTCAAGGGCTAGACCCATACCCAAGAGCATACGGGGAATACAAATTAGACCTAATGGGCCTTTAAAACTAAAAAAAGAAAATAGAAAAATAATAATAGAGGGCATGAAGTTGGGGAGGGGTCCTGAATGTGATCAAACTAAATTGTATAAAATTCTTAAAGAATCAATAAAAATATTAAAAATTAAATAAATAATTGATATCTTGTGGTTATTTAAAAAACCACCAAGTTCTGTTATTAGAAAATAATTCCGTTGAGCTCCCCTTTTCTTTCCAGTTCCTCACACTAGAGGAAATGGTACACATAAGAATATAATTTCCTGATGAACCACTCTTTAACATATCAGAAACATATCAGAAACATATCAGAAACAGAGACTGTTTGTCTCTGTTTCTGGAGAAATACAGGGTTTTCTGCCTCTAATCTAGCCTTGAACTTTGGGTATAAGTCTAACGTTTTACTGTAAGGGTATCAGGAACGATACTATAAATATCATTCTCATATACCTCATTTAACTTCTGGGAAAACAGATTGAGGGAGAGGAAGAGGCTGGCCATCTAAGCACTTTTTTGGTCTAGAGGCAATATAACATATGATAAGGAATAAGAATATTCTCTGTAGCCATAGAGATTGGGGTTGGGTTTTTGTTCTGTAGCTAACAAGCTGAATGATCTTGGCTAATTATTTGACCTCTTGGTACTTGGATATATAAAATGGTAGGAAGAATATTTACCTGCCAGAATTTTTGTGAGGTCCAGATGAGATAAAGTGAAATGTATCTAGTGCAATATTTGACCCACATAAGTCTTATGTGGGTCTTTCTACCTTTCCAGAGGTGGAAAGATAAGTTCTTTTGGGGGCCACTGCTCATTTTTTCTGCCTTCATAAAGGCTGAAGTGTATGCTGTGAACTTTCCTATTTAGTCATAAAACCTTTTTGCTTCCTTATTCCTTCCCCATATGGGAAGGAGTAACATTTCTCCTACCTTCTCAGGCATACCCTTAAAGTGTCAGAAAAAAAGAGTCAAGGGCAGCCATTAAGAGACTAGATCACAAAGAAATTCTTAAACGAGAAGGAGGAGGAGCAGAAGGGAGAATGACTGACTGACTGACTGACTGACTGACTGACTGATTGACTGACTGATGACTGATCTCATTTAGCCTCAGCGCTAATAAGAACAGGAAAAGAGAGAGAAGAGGGAGACTGACTAGGGGATAGGTTTCATTTTCATTCAATAGGAGCAAATAAGAATTGATATTCCCACTTGAAGTGTTATAAACCTTTTGAGGGTGCCCAGGTGTTTCTCCCCCTATACAGCCTCTTTAATGCTCATTCCCACCCCAGTCTATACTCATCTTTGGATGTCTACAGAGTTGTAAGACAGAGTGGTAAGAATAGTACCATCTTTCCTACCTGGCTACCTCTCACCATCACATGTCCTTCCTAGGGCGAGGACATTTTAGACAGGAGCTCGGAGCTGATCTACACTGGGGAGATGGCCTGGATCTACCAGCCCTATGGTCGCAACCAGCAGAGAGTCTTCTTCCTGTTTGACCACCAGATGGTCCTCTGCAAGAAGGTAAACTTATCCTCTTCTTCCCTGAGAGAGTTGGGCACCTCAGGGAGCAGCACTAGCTCCATCTTTTTCACCATTCCCAGGCTTTCAAAAAAGTAGAAAAAAAATATGACTAGAGGAAAAGTTGGCAGGAAATTGGCAGCGATTCCACATCGAAAGCATTGATATGGCATGAAGATCATAGGCAAGAAACAGTGAAATTCTGTGGCTAACACATTTTATCCTGGTATCTTTTATACTTTTGCCCTCATAATTCTTTAGATGCTCCTTCTGCGTTCCTTGCACCCATACACAGCTGAGAGCCAGCTAGTTTGTGCCAGTGATTAATATTGCAATATTTGTATCCCAGTTAGCAAACAGTAGCTTCTCTGAGTGGCATCTCCCATTTCCACTCTGATGGGCCACCTCTCCCCTCACTACCATAAGAACCAACAAGAGGACTACCACTTTTGTCAAGACAGGTAGGTGCTTCTTTGATACAGGATTTTCTCTCACACCTCTATTTCCTATACAAAGTATATCCTCCAGCTTCAACCATGTTGTCTCCCAGTATCCATTCCTTATAATCTTTTGAGGATAGCTCTTGTGCTTGTCACTGATCCTTACTTGTCACTAATCCTGTACTTGTCACTGACTTGTGTGAATGTAGATTTCTTAGCCACTTCTCTTTGGTAAGGACAGATGGCATATGTTCCATACATAATCTCTCCTGAAGGATCCTAATGGGATAGTATCCCATATTTTGGGGCAGGAGGTTTAAACCAATTATGTCTGTAATAGTTGACTGGGAATAATTTTGAATCAGGGAAAGTTAGAAGAGGAGGGAGAAATCAGAGTACTAAGAATGACTTTCCAAATTTGCTCTCAATTTGCTCTCAATGTCTGCTTTTTCTCTGTTATACATCTGTTTGCTATCTCCCTTAACCAATAGGGAATACCTGACGTGTCATGTGTGCTAAGACATGACATGACAAGTTAGATACTATCATTTTGTTTCTGGCCTGGGAAATGAAATACATATCTTTTTTTACTCCCCTGTTTGCTCTGCGTCTGCATGCGTGTAGGATATACTGCACTAAATCTTTATGTATTCATCTTTAACATTTTGAGAGAATAAATTGAGTCTAGATTCAGACTGCCTCAGTGTTTGGAGATAAGCTCTGGATGTCATCTCTGGAACCAATAACCTGCTATATAATGGGGATAATTACTTCAGTCTGGATTTGACCCTGGAGGAGAAAACTTTTGTGAATTAGGGACTCAGTGAAATACAAGTATCTATTTTTAGCTCTTCCAGCACATATTAGGACTTTCATTCGATCAGGAGGAAAATTTTCTGAAGGTTATATAAACAACAAAGAAATTCTTAGATTATCGGCCATGTTACCAATAGGCCCATTCTTCCCACTAAGGCATGTTCATGCTTGGAACAATTAGTTAAGGAGAGAGAGAGAGGGAAAGAACAATTATGAGCCTGGGTTATTTTAGCATTCCCTACTACAAACTACACTTTTGCTTTGGGCCTCCGTTCCCCAAAGGCTGCAGTTGCTTTAAGTAAAACATTAAACTGAATTCTGGAACAGTGGCCATAGTGCGAGGAGCCTGAATGCAAACCTGTTAATCAGAGACTAAGAGTAAGAGAAAAGAAAGAAAATGGAACAGGTGGGTCTATTGAAGAATGAAGAGACAGCAAAAGACCAAGATGGAATGACAAACTCTAAGACACGTACTGGGGGAGATGATTTTCCAAGAAGAACCCAAAAGTTAAGTGAAGGCTTCAAGATTCAGAGCAGTCAAGTTGGCAGTACAGAAGAAGCAGGCAACACGGTGGCAAAAAACGACAGAAACTCTGATGCAACCAAAGCTACCCCCAGCTGGGAGTTTTATTATTTTAGTGAGACCGTAGGAATTCTCTCCAGATCAAAAGCCAATCTAGAGTCAGGGCGGGGGGTTAAAGAGTATTAAGTCCACATACTTGGATATTCTTGACACTGGCTTCCAAGTGTTAAGCAGCCACAGCTTGATTGCATAAATGTCTTTAAAACAATCTGATATTTGTACTGTATTCATGGTCGAGGATTTCCATATAGTATCTACAATGAGTTCTAATTATCAAATGGGGGAAAATCTGAAACTAATTATTTTACAAGCCAAGTTGTTCTTCTCAGTATTACAAAGACTAACTCTTGGTGGCACTGAGAAAAAGAGCATGGTTTCCTGACTTGAAGATTTATTTGGCCAGCCCCTGCATAAAGTATAAAGTTTAAGGTTAACATGGGAACATAAATTCCTTTAATACAAAGAATTGAATCTCAGAGGATTTGAGGTTTTCTGAAAATACTTCACTGCTCTGAATTTTTATTGTAAGCCTCCAATCTGTGCCTGCACATCTGCCTTAATGGGGCCTATAATCTAATATTTATTTATTTATTTATTCATTTTTTGTTTTAAGTATGTCTTCATTTTATGTATATGAATGTTTTGCATGCATGTATGTAAGGACACCTGTGTTGTCCAATGCCCACACAGGCAAGAATAGGGTGTCAGATGCCCTGGAACTGGAGTGATAGACAGTTGTGAGCCACCAATGTGGGTGCTCAGAATGCAATCAGATAGTGCTCTTAACCACTGAGCTCTCTATCCAGCCCCAATCCAATAAAATTTAAATGTAATGTAATATAAAAATGTGCATTCTAAGGCACTAAAAAACTCTGAGATGTCTCTCATAGAATTGATGTAGGTAAACTTGACAAAATTATGAATTCTAATGAAAGCTACAGATAAGAAAATGTAACACTTTTGAAAACAGAAAACAATATATTCTAGGAAATTTAACTATTTAACTATAAAATAATGACATCATTGCTTGAGTGTCTCTGTGATTCTATTCTAAAAAGGTTATATTCAGTTAATTAAATATGATTCTCACAACAAATTTACCAGAAAAATATTGTTATTATTCCTAAGACATGTGAAATTGAAATACAGAATAGTTACATATTTTTTTCCAAGGCAATACATGGTTGATAAGTGATGGGGCCAGAAATTCACCTGTTTTGTTTTTCTTTGCTCAGGCTGAGAATTGACCCTAGGGATTATACATGCAAAGCATGTGGTCTACTATAGACCTACATTCCCTAATATGGAGATGGGATTTTAAACTAGTCAATCTGTCTTTAGATTCTACCCTAATACCTTCTGTGTCACTATTGCCATTGAGCTTGTCAAAATTCTGTAATCAATTATGAAATAGTCTACAAATATTCAGAAAGTGATTAATTGACCATGAGTGCTTCAACATTTGTCTCTAAAACAAAGTTATATTACATTAAAATCTTCATTTGTATCATACCTGTAAATTAGTCTAGTAAATTGAAAGACTGAATTGGACAGAGAGAATATGTACTCCTGGGATTCTTTTTATTTGTTTTTGTTTTGAGGTAGGGTCTCTTAATCAGTTATACAGTGTAGGTTATATACTGTAGAAGAAGATGAACTCAAACTTCTGATTCCCTTGCCTCCACTTTTCAAGTGATGGGATTGCAGGCATCTGCCACCATGCCTTGTTTTCGCGATACTAGGGATCTAACTTAAGGCGTCATGTGTACTAGGCAAATACTCTGTACACTGAGCCACATACCCAGTCCCGATTATCTGAATTTCATTCTAGCATTTTAGATTCTCTCATAATTTCCTTGCAGAGAGAAGAAATCTGGAGTGATAAAGTTAACTTAGTCTGGGTTTAAATACTGGTAATATTGTTTATATTATTTCAATCAGGCCAGCAGCTTTGTATTTCCTGTTCCTCTGTTATATAATTTATAAACCACTCACTACTATTATTGTTACATATAAATGAAATCAATGTATATAAATAAAATGCCTGGAACTTAGTAGGTTTCATGAAGTTTGGTCTTCACCTACATTCAAAAGAGAAATAATCTTATAAAGTAGTGAGGTGTCCATCACTACATGTACTCAAATGTGGGCTGAATAATTGCTTGCTACAGGTTAACAGAGGAAACATTTAAAAACTCAGTTTGATCTTTAAGATTCAGCTAGTGATGTCCAGCTACTCAGTTTCTGTTCAACTCGTGATTCTCTTAAGTTCTTGTCATTTATACAAAACTGGCCAATTTTGTATACTGGGAGTTGGGATTGACTTAATAACCCAGAAGAGTTTGAAAAGCTTGTGCAACTTGTAGCTTACTTTGGAGAGAGAAGGAGAAAGAGGGACTACTATTTAAAATGGCAGCTATAATAGATAGGAAAGACACCAGTGTCTTCTTCAACTGCTGTCATGTCTTTTCTTTCCTTGTCATTTTTTCTCATTTTGGAAAAAGTCTAAGATACTTTTTTCTCTTTCTTCTTATTTTTTTTTGTATTGGCTGTCTCTACTCTATGTCTCATTACCTTATTACTTTAGTGTGTACATGCTCTGCTATTTTAGTCCTAATATAATAATTTAAAATTTATTTTGATGTTTTCAGAAATATTATCCCCCTTTTTAATATAAAATTACCATATTGTAATGAACTCACAAATAAAAACATCAGGTAGTTAGGTTAACACAGCCACTCAGGCAAACCTTTACCCGGTCCCAAACATCTCAACCAACTTCTATACAATTAGAATAGTGGTTATGATGCCATGGGCCCTTTTTTAGGGTTTTCTACTTCCACTATAAATTACATTTATATGTAGTTCCCCACCATAAAAAAGAAAGAAAATGAAAGAGTTGAAACTGGAATCTCTGTTGTCCCTGTTGCTCTTGCTTTTCACTATTTACAGTGGAAGAGAACAGACCTCTTTTCCCCAGTACCTACCAATTTTCCTTCACATCTCTCATTGTATCAGACAGCCTTTTCTCTGCATGCTTTGATCTTGGTTTTGCCTGTCTGGACATGTTCCATTGTCACTTATCATAATGTAGTTATCATAACTACATGTCCCATTGTTATGTATCATCACATCATTTGTATTGTTTTCACCATATTTTGATGGATCAGAAAAAAACTAACACAATAATGATGCTGTGGAGAGTTATTCTAGTCAAGGAAAATTTTGTATTTAGATATTTCTTTTTGTACTGAATAAATAAAATTGTTGTATGAGACATTTGGGACAACTCAATTACAACAGTAACAACAAGAGATAGGTATAGGGGTCAGGAGAGATAGCTCCGTGTTTAAGATCCAATTGCTGACTTTGCAGAGGAGCTGAGTTTGGTACTCAACACCCATGTGGCTAAGTTCAATAACAGCTCTATGTCTGTAGTTTCTCATTAAATTGAGCTATAACAGTAGCTACTGTGTAAGACTTTCATCATCATTATTTAAAGTAATGAATACAAAGCAATTAGGACTATACTTGGCCTACCTATATTATAAGCTATTTAAGTGCCTACTACTGCTGTTGTCATTGTTAATTTGTTTTGGCTTGTTAAGCATACACTTTACATGTTGGAATACAAAGTGGATGAAATAAAACCATCCTCGTGCCTTCCCTCAATTCAGGATAGAAAACTGGGGTGCTTTATAATAGAAAAGAGTAAACAAGACCCCTAAAGTAGCAGAGACAAACTTACTGATAAATGGATGAGTCAAGATATAAGCCTGAACATCTTTATACTCCAGATTGACGCATCTGTCATTTGTACAATATGTACTGTGATGTCTTATTAAAACCCTTGAGTACCTAGTGATATCAAATTGAAATAAATATGAGCTGTTTGAATTCTGCAACATCAAGGATTATAATAATTCATTTTAGGAGTCATAGGCTATGACCAGAGACTTGGTGTCTACAGAATACTAAAACAATCCTGGAGAAGAACTAATATTATTTATGTCCCCAAAATTATAGAAGCAAAAGAGAAAAAGGAGAAAGGCTGGTATACTATTAGAAACAGTAAACTCCACTATGCAAGGAAGTTGTGGTAGTCTAAATAGTATCTATTTGAGGTACATAATCACCACATAGCAGTAAAGGCACTCAGACCACCTATAACAAGTAGTACATGATTAGCCTAATCCCAATAGCACCACAAGCAGCCAGGGCTCAGGAGGGCTTTGTTCCCTTGCTATGTTCAGAAGACCAGAGAAACCTCTGGAACATCTCTGAACAATCCCTGAAAAAAGCAAGAACAATGAAGACAGAGATCTGAGTACAATCTAAATGGATACATGACTAAGTGTCAGGTGTGTCCTGTGTCAGGGCCTTCATTTAGTATTATGATTTAGCCAAGGGAGACAACAGCTAAAACTAGAGCATTTAATGGGGAAGGACTTCTTTGGGGAAGAACATGTGAATTTGACCATGAAGATTAAAAGGGTTGAAATGAAACAGCTGATTGGAAAGAAAAGAATACAATTTTGTGAGCCCAAGTAGATCTGAGATTTGTGTGAGTGGGTTAGCAAGTACTATTCCTATCCTAATAGTGGGTCAAATTTCTAGAAATGGTGGCCGTGTAAATTGAAATATATGTCTTTACTTTGACTGACAGTATTTAACTCATAATGCATAGCTTTCTTGAATAGTTTACACAGCCTGAAAGATGCATGGAATTTTTAGGTTCATCAAAATGGATTTTAAAGGAGCAAGTAAGCTCAAGGCCACTGGTCTTGTATGTGGAAACTCTGTGTTTAAGTTAGACTTTTGTACCATTTTATATGATAAGGATAACTTTTCTAATTTCCTAGTTGGGGTAATTGATGCTGAAATAAATTAAGTGGCTTGTCCAAGACCATATAATTAGTATGTTAAAAACCAGGGATTCAAGCTTAATTATTTGGATTCCACTTCATTTGGACTGAGGTTAAGAGCTAAGATGCTGAGGTTGTTAATATTTTAGGTTGGTAGGTACTCCTTTATTAACTGTGCTGTCCAGATAAGGCTTTGTGTTCTTTCATGACCTTAGTTATCCTTTCTGATTGTACTTTCTGAGCCAGTTGATCATTCCTAATCATTACCCTCATATCTCTGTACTTAGCTTATGACTAATTTGATGCCTAAAAATTCATATTGAGCCCGCTAACAGCTACAAATGGAAAATTTTAATAACAGAGTTTCAATAACACACCACTCTAGTCTCTGATCTACTGCTAAAGAAACAATATTTCCCTGGTTCTTTTGTCATACTTAAATATCTAAATAAACAATAAGAAGTTCAAATCGGTACTGTTAACTGAGCCCCCAAGATCATATACACATTTCCAGTTTTGGGAAACTGTCAAAGGCACTGAAGAATGGCAATGATTACAAATTACTAGTTTGACAGAGGGGAGAGGGATATTTTGGACTGAGGTTAAGAGCTAAGATGCTGAGGTTGTTAATATTTTAGGTTGGTAGGTACTCCTTTATTAACTGTGCTGTCCAGATAAGGCTTTCCGAGTATGTATGTATCAGATTATTTATTCAAAGACAGAATTTGATCCTTTATGAAGTCTAGATTAGATCCATTCATTTCCCCCTATTGTCCTCCTTATGTCTAGTTAGATTAGCCTGACAGTGCTTGCTTTTTGAGCATATATTTCAAAAAATCTTCCTGAAAATTTGAAATTAGTTTTTGTGCCAGGACTGAACTTATGTACTTTGAACAGGATCAAAGAAAACAGGCTTAGGTCAGCATTAGCCCTCTCTGTGCAACTGACCTCTTCATTGCTTGTGAGTTTGACGTTAGCAGTACCAAAGGAATCTGTCTGAGTTTAATACCAGGGCTACCCTCAGTGTGTGTGTATATGTACATATATATATATATATTTCTAGTTTGCCTTCAAATGCTGTGATAAAATACTGATCAATACCAACTTGGGGAGGAAAGCATTTATTTGACTTACAAGCATGGTCTATCATCAAGGGAAGCCAAGGCAGGAATTCAGGATAGGAACCTGGAACACAGACCATGGAAGAATGTGGCTTACTGACTTGCTCCTCTGGCCCATGCTCAGTCTGTTTTTTAATACAATGCAGGACAACCTGCCCAGGGGTGGCAGTACCCACAGGGGCCTGGGCCTTCCCACATCACTCAACAATCAAGAAAATGACCCACAGACCTATCCACAGACCAGTCCAATGGAGGGAATTCTCCAATTGAGGTTCCCTCTACCAAGGTGTGTCAAACAGACAACTAAATCTATCCCGCACATATACAGTAGGAAAAGAGCATTGTCATGGTTATTGTTTGCAAAACAATTAAAAAATACCTCTATTTCCAAACTTGAGACTTTGAGAATGGCAAAGCTATGATGAGAATCATTCAGAACCAGGCTACAGTACCCAGCATATATTCCCTCCCGCGGAGCAGTCCTCAGAATTAATCAGAATGTGATTGTTTTTCTCCCAAACTGTCATGCTGCTATTGTAACAGTGGGCACATTTTGCCTACCAGGTCGGTATTATAACATGCAGGGTCCACAGCTTTGTAAGACTGATGTTTTGGTAAATGGGCATGTGGTCAAACTGCCAAGTACTCAGTTTGGGCCACAGAAGCTTCTATTTTGCAGAGGGTGACAGTTAACGCAGAGACTGGTCAAAGTGCTAAGAATATGGACTCTTACCTTATGATAGTGTCATAGTCTTATTGTCCTGCTTGCATTTTTCCACACATTCCAGTAAGTTCATTTTATGCTTCTGGTAATAATGCCAGGTTTTTGGAAGAGAAAATTTTCTTATCAGTTGTGCTTTTGTGGCAAACTGCTTTCTTTTTCTTATCAGCAGTTTTGCACATCAAATGATTGATACTGGGATCTCAAACTGTCTTTGCATGTGGGGCATTTCTTAGACCAACTTGTGAGTGTAAAACTGCTAATGTCAAATACATTTAGACCATAAAACTTCCACTTATACTCCAGAACAATGACAGTGTTTGTGTCCTGTTACACCCATGTGCCACCTCTCCTGGCACCTAGTCTGCATGTACCGCCAACAAAATAACCTCTTTCTTCCCATCTTAGGATCTAATCCGGAGAGACATCCTATACTACAAAGGGCGCATTGACATGGATAAATATGAGGTAATTGACATTGAAGATGGCAGAGATGATGACTTTAATGTTAGCATGAAAAATGCTTTCAAGCTTCATAACAAGGAAACAGAAGAGGTACATCTTTTCTTTGCCAAGAAGCTGGAGGAGAAAATTCGTTGGCTCAGAGCATTCAGAGAAGAGAGGAAAATGGTACAGGAAGATGAAAAAATTGGTAAGTGACCTGAGAGGAGAAAGAAAAATATAACTGTGCAAAACCCTCTGTAGAGGGTTATAATTGATTTTCATCTCTCTAAAGTCAAAGGAAAGATTTTTGTTGCAAACTGACCTAAGTCACTATGATGGTTCCTTATTATAGGTCTTTTCTTTCTTTCTTTCTTTCTTTCTTTCTTTCTTTCTTTCTTTCTTTCTTTCTTTCTTTCTTTCTTTCTTTTTTCTTGTAAATACCAATGGGTGAGAGTTACAGATTGTTGAGCCTAATAGCTTATTACCAGATAAGAATATTGTAGACTGAAAGCCAATTTCAAGCATGAAATGAAACTTTTAAAAGTAGATCATAAGCTGGGCGTGGTGGCGCACGCCTTTAATCCCAGCACTTGAGAGGCAGAGGGAGGCAGATCTCTGTGAGTTCAAGGCCAGCCTGGTCTACATAGTGAGTTCCAGGACAGCTGGGACTACAGGGAGACCCTGTCTCAAAAATACCAAAAGAAAAAAAAAAGTAAACCATAGAAAATATATTAAGATAAAAATCCTTTATTTGGTTTAGATTCACAATAAAACATACTTTTGTACTGAAATAGATTGTGTGGCTATAGTTTTGTAGTTTATTAAGTAATATCAAGTCTCTTCTTCAAAGTCTTGTTTCTCTGATAAAAAAATCTCAAACACTAGGTATGATGGTGCACACCAGTAATTCCAAGTGGTGGCAGGATCCCAGGCTCAAGGCCAGCCTGGGCTGCAGAGTTTTAAAAAACCCATGGATTTAGATCACTGATAGGATGCTTGCCTAGCATGCATATGGCTCTGTGTGCAATCCCCAGAACTGAGAGAGAGGAAGCAAATAAAACAGATCAGCCTATTTCCTGAGAACTTTCTTGTTTTGCCTCATGTTTTATGTGAGTAGAATTGTGCTTTAAAATCCCTGTGTTCAAGTTGGCAGAAACTGCCTTTACAAAAATGGACTTAACCACTGAGTTCTGATACAAATGTGTTTTCATATCATACCATGCTGGCAATTGAAATGGCCCATAAAGAAGGATGGTTGGCCAACAACACACAGTAATTTTTATCTTCCCATATCTTAAAGGAAACTTTGAAAACTCATGTTGAGTCTCATTAGATTCAAATTTCTTTTAGTATATGGACACTGAACTGGGACATGAAGGTAGTGCTAGCTAGTACTCCCAGTGGCAAGTATCAGCAGCCCCTCATCCTGTTTAGGCTGTTAGAGCTATTAATTGAATAGTCTTGGTTCACAAATAATGAATCAGTGAGAAGGTCCCATATATTCCCTCTGACTCCAGCACCATGGCTTCTATAAATTAGTCTCTGAAATGTCGGGGGCTAGAGAGATGGCTCAGCAAGAGATGACCTGGATTCAACTCACAGCACTCACATGGTGGCTAACAACCATCCTAACTCCAGTTCCAGGGGATTCAGCCCCCTCTTCTGACCTCCATGTGCATATATATATATATATATTGCACGACATGGGTGCACTTACCTACATGCAGGCCTAACACTCATACACATAAAATAAAAATAATAAATAAAATACTTTAAAATTTTCTCTAGAAGGCTTATATCATCTTTTTCCTGCATGTGTGGAGGGGATTATTTTTCTGTCTGATTATAACTGTAAATCACTATTAATGAAGGAATTTTGGTGAAGCAAAAGCAAAAATACAAAAATGTCCAAATCACACTAACATACAATGTAATAAGAATTTTTACAAATAGTTTGATATATTTCCTTCTAGTCTTTTCTTACATGTGTTTAAAAAATTTAGAATTCCTGAATATATCTCTTCCTTCCACACCTACATGGTTCAGAGATGTACTTTTATATCCTCACTTTTCATTTCATATCATGTCATTAGCATTTCCACCAACTTATTTAATATTTTTATTACCTTTATGGCTAGCATATATTTGCCCATTATTTTATTGTCTTTTATGTTTATTATTTCATTATGTGTACTTGACCATACTCTGTGAAATAACAGGTATTAACAATCAAAAGTGTTTTTTCCATATTTATCCTATGTTCATATGCAATATTACAGAACCACATTATAATTATATCTGAATAAAGAAACCGCCTGGCTCTTAGCATTAGTTTTAAGGCCAAGGGTGGCCCTGAACTCTGAGAACCATCTATCTGTTCCTTCAGATGTCTCATGGAACTGTATTCCAGAGTGAAATTTCACTTATTCTTTTATTTAAACAGTATCTCCAGCATGAATTGGGAAACTGGAAGCTATGATTCATCTTCATCTTATCAAAGAATTCTGCCCTTTGATTCTTAGGCCTAAAATATCATATACACACAATTATAGACAGACTTCTGAGTTCTCCTCATTGTTTTCAGTGAGAAAATACCGTGTGTTTTAGCACTTTACCCTGTTAGTCAAGCACACCCACATTGCCTAGATGGAGAGCTAAATAGGGTCCTGAGAGATTAAGGTCAGGTGCCCAGGTCACAAGAGGAGCACATGGCTCAGTGAGCTTGTTTATGTTATAAACAGTAACTTTTGGGTTGCAAGGTTAAGTAAAAGTCATTAGTTGAGATTGTGTCCATGTTGTAAAATTCATTCCTACATTCATATAAATGTATATATATATATGTACAATTTACAGAATTATATATATATATACATGTACATATGTATGCTTACAAAAATGTATTATATACATATATCGCTCTACAACTTCCTTTTTTTAAACTAAGTATTTATTATATAACTATCCAGGTAAACAATATAGAATCTAGTTATAACTCTTTGTATCAGCCAGAGTTCAACCAGAGAAGCAAAACCAGGAGATGTATTACTATTAAGAGCTTTATTATAAGGAACTGGCTTATGTGATTATAAAAGCTGGCCAAGTTCAAATGATTACTTCTGGGTGAGAGAGAGCTGGTCTTCTTTAAGGGAATGACTCTAGATAAGCTGACCAGGCTCTAGTGTATGGACTCAAACCTAGGAATATCTGGGCATAAAAACTTGACTCAGTAGGCCTTAACATATGTGACAATAATGCATGAAATCTGGTAAGGGGTACCTATAGAGGGTACAGATAGGAAAGCAGGTCTAAATATGATTAAGATGTATTTAAATGGACATAAATTCAATAAAAATAGATACTGTAAAAAATACATGGCCAAGTTATTTCTGAATCTGTAGAGCAGGAGGTTAAGCATGTAAAGTCATGGGTAGGATTAATCTCGTGGGCATAGGACAAAGCTGTCATGTACAAAGAGTAAGAGAGACAGACGTTCGCAGGAAGTGTGGGACTTTACGGCCATGGGCTGAAACTGTGCTCCACAGGATGGAGTTCATTTAATGGAGACCTCAGTGTTCTTTTAAAGCCTTCTCACACATTCAGTTCGGTCCATTCAGATTATCTAGGGTATTGTGTCTTTCATTTCTCTGACTATATCTATAAAATACCTTCATGGTAATACCTGTATTAGTAAGGACCATAGTATAGACAAATTGCCACATCAATAATGCTATCATGACTCTCTTTAATAATCATATAATATTCTATATGATGAAGGAACAATCATTCTCCTTTTCCTAGATATTCAATTTGTTTCCAACACTTTTTTCCATGAGAGATACTGCTGTAATACATACCTATGATCATTTCATTATACATTGTTTTTTTTTTTTCCTGCTGAATAGACACCCAATAGTAGAATGACTGGCTAGGAGAATGTGTACAGTTTTAATCTTAATATGTAGTTCCATATTATACCTTGAAAAAGTTAAATAATCTACTCCCTAACTATGATTTTGTGGGTACCAATTTCTTTATACCCATACCAACACTGCATATTATCTACATGTTTCAATTTGTTTTCTCCGTAGGAATAAATGTCAATTTTTCATATGCTTGCTGGTTATTTTCAACCTTTTTTGTGAATTTCCTATTGTTTTCTTTTAAAAGGATATAATATTTATTTTAAAATAAAGTCTTAAAGAGCGACTACCTTAAATGGATTTGCAACTGCTTATAGAGTTGTGCTATACTGGTAGTGAATGAAGAAAATTGCCAATTTTAGACTGAATTTATTTGAAAAACTTTTAAAAGACTAGAAGCAGAAGTAAATGTGTATATATGAAATACATAGAAGGAAACATATGCTGCACATGTTTTATATTTCATGATGCTAAATTTTCTTTGTAGAACCAGCCTAAGAAGTGATATTGCCAAACCTCTGTATACTATGTGCTCAAAAATGGGCTCATTTGTGGCCTGGGGTATAGCTTAGTAGTAGAGCATTCCCATTGTATACATCAGATCCTGGATCCCACGTCTAGCACTGCAGAGAAGAGGAGAAGGAAGAGGAGGAAAATATAGAAATTTGAAAGGACTCTACATTGAAGATTAATAATACCTTGTCAATTTTGAGTTTCACATAGCTTCCAGAATTTGCTGATTGTCTTTCAAGTTTGTTTATAGTGCATAAATTGACAAAAATTTAATTACCATTACAAATGAATCTATTATTTCTTTAGTTCCTCCCAGGTTTATTTTGCTTAAGATGTCTGCTGCTGGGCATGGTAGCACATGCCTTTGATCCCAGAACATGGGAGGCAGAGATAGGTGTCTCTGTGAGACTGAAGCCAGGCCAGATGGCACTACAGGATGACTTTTAAAAAAGAGAAAAAAGGAAAAGATGATCTCTACCTCCTACACTTAACACTTTCTGAATTGTTTTATTGGATTTTTGTGAATTTCATACAATATATTTTGATCATATTTAGATGCCCTCTCCTATATGTACCCCCTTACCACCCCCACCCAATTGTTGTTTAAAAAAAACTAATCTTGTTTGGGTTTATTTATAGTTTCTATAATTTATTTTTGTTTTAAATGAATTTTAGATTTTCTATAGTTTTTTTGTATAAGTTCATTGTATGAGGTATTGTGTTAAATAAGACATTTCTTTCTAAAGTTTTACAATTTTCATATAATTTGATGATATTTAAGTCTCCTCCCATTTGCACATCCCCTTACTGTCCCCTATTGAATTCAATGTAGTTCACTATATATACAATACAGCCTATATTATTTGAGTTGTACTTCAGTGTAGATCCATTCACTGGAGCCTGGTTAATGAACCAAGAATCCCTTCCCTGCATGAGAGTCTCCCTTCTGCTCCTGGCAGCCATCAGTTGCCAAACTTTCCTTACATTGGGTTGAGATTTCTTACTCACTTCCCTGGATCTATGCTTGAATTTTATTTAATTTGTGCTTGCACGGGATTTGTGCACGTTGTTACCGTTGCTGTGGACATTATAATGTAAGAAATGCAAGAATATATGCATACTGACTATATTACCCCTGTAAACGCCTACCTTTTTTCACTCGTCTGAGAGTTGAGGGATATATTAGTATTCTCTCTACCTCCTGTTCCACTATGTTCCATGAGCCTTAGTTGTAGATGTTCCATTGTAGATATATCACTTAGGGCTGAGCATTTCTTAGACACTCATTCTCTGTGTGTAACCACTTGTAGAACTCAGTAATAGTCTCCATCTGTTACTAAAGAAGCTTCTGTGATGAGTGGTGAATGATATACATGTCTTTAAATATAAGAATCCATATTTAGCATACATTAAGTAATTATATTTGTCTAGGATAATGACAGAGATGGGGTTTTCTCTAGGATCTATGACCTCTTGAGACTTGTGTATCTCCAGGCTATGGTTACAATTCACAAATGAGTTTCCTCCCATTGAAAGGGCTTTAATTCCAATTAGATAGCAGTTAATTACCCCCCAAGATAAAAGTGCCACTACTGCACCACTATAGTTTGTTGTGCAGATGATTGTTGTGGTTATTAGGCTTTAAACCTGGCCTAGGACCATTGATTGGTTTTCTCCCTTAGCAGCTTACATAATATCCTCCAAAATTATGAGAGCTAATTTTCAGGGAGGAGGCTTTCAGGTCAGGTCCAGCTCCATTGCTCCAAGTCTTGTGTCTGAAGTATGTCCTGTCATCAGCACAAGGGTCTTACCTTCAAGTTTTGGGAGATAATCAAGAACCGTGTGAAACAGCCTGTTATTTTTGGAGTCCTTTAGACTACCCTGACCAATTACTCAAAGGGAGATTTCTTCTTTCTGGCACTGTGTTTCTTGTTATATAGTCTTCAGGTATACACATGCACATGTGTATTTTTCAATAGGTTTTTGAGTTAATGTATTTCCCTCTGTTTTTTCACACCACCTAAGCTATCTCTTTCTCTCTCTCTCTCTCTCTCTCTCTCTCTCTCTCTCTCTCTCCTCTCTCCTCTCTCCTCTCTCCTCTCTCCTCTCGCCTCTCCTCCCTCCCCAGTTTAAGTACCCCCATGTTCCCTAGATAATAGCTTTCTCCTATTATCCCCCTTCTCTTGAGTTCCTTCTTCCCTTTTACCCCCATGGCTCCTTGTATGTCCTTCCCTCCCCCTTTCACAGTTGAATAGCCCAGCTTTCCTCTTTTCCCCCTTGGTAACATCTGTTTCCTAGAAACTCCCTCTCTTGGGCTCTTTCTTTCCCTTTACTTCCATGATTGTTTTCCATTTTCCTGGCTCCTGTGGTTACATCAGGATATATACTCACATATAAGGATTTGGTGCTATGATCCACAAATGAGGGAGAACATATGTCTTTTGTTTTTCTGAGTCTGTGTTACTTCATTTAGTATAACAGTTTCGATTTCCATCCATTTCCATGAAAACTTTATGATTTCTTCTTTCTTAATGCAGAGTAGAACTTCATTGTGTAAATGTACCACATTTTAATTATCCATTTTTCAGTTGAGGTATATTTAGGTTGTGTCCATTTTTAACTATTCTGAAAAGAGCAACAACAAAAACAGATGTACAAGTGTCTCTATAGTAGGATGAGTCATTTGGGTATATGCCAAAAAATGGTATAACTGGATCATATGGTAACTACACACCTGACAAGGCATTTTTGCATGAATTTTCTCTTTGGTGGGAATTTGCCAGTGTCTACCCCAACTTCTTAAAGTCCTAATCATAAAACAAAGTTCATGCTGATGAACTAATGAGTTTATTAGGCCTGCTTATAGAGCATGGGCTAGAGGTTATAGGTAGAAGTGTGGGTAACTATAACGCAGCCACACTGGAAGGTGTGCACCCAGCATGGATACTGGCTTCCATATTGTTGCGTAGATAAACCACACATACACTTCTCCTAGTCTTTCCAAGCCTATAGGTTCTATCCCCTCCCTTAAACCTCTGAGGCTAAGTGCAAAGAGGGCAGGATTACATAAAACTGGTTGAGAAGAATGACTGTATACTTAGTTGAAGATTCAGTGACCCTCCCCACCCTTTTTTTCTATAAAGGACTGTAAATAATCAACAAGCCTATCTGGGATAATCTTTGGGGAGCAGACACAGCTGGTCTTCTGGAGAGAGCAGCTATGTGGCTTGGAGGATAGTACTCTACAGTAGCAGTTCTATATAGAATATACAAGGAACGTAAACACCTAGATGCAAAACACCAAGCAATTCAACTAAAATGTGGGGTAAAGTTGTGAGTAGGCATTTCTCAAATGAACACATTCAAATGACCCATAGATAAATGAAGAAAAAGACTAGTCTCTATCATCAGGTACATGCAAACCCATATCCACGATGATATATCACTTTACCCATTTTGAATGACTGTTATTTTAAAAAATAACTAATGATCAAGGATGCAAAGAAGTAACTTTTATGAACTGTTGGTGTGAATATAAATTAGTATTGCCATTATAGCAAACACTACAGAGGTTTCTAAGGAAATTAAAAATATATTCATTTTTATATTCCAGAAATACCATTCCTGAGCATATACCCAAACAAGATGGTGGTTGTCTATCCAAATTTCTAATAGATTACCTTAGTGAAATTTCTAGAAAGGAATTATTAGGTCAAGGATAGTGACTGTGGTGTATAGCCTTTGTTGTCAACTTGACACACCTGAGCCTCAACTGTGGAATTGCTACCATTGGACTGGCCTGTAGCCATATCTGTATAGCATTTTCTTGATTGTTGAGTGATGTGGGAGGGCCCAGAACACTGGGTGCTGCCAGCCCTGCATGGGTTGTCCTGTATTATATAAGCAAGAAGGTTGAGCAGGGGCCAAAGGAGCAAGCCAGTAAGTGGCATTTCTCCATGGCCTGTGCTTCAGCTCCTGCCTCCAGTGGCTTTACAATCTTTCTGCCCACCCATCTTCCACAATGGTCCCTAAGCCCTGGATGGGTGAAGTTTAATATAAGAGTCCTGTTCAAGGACCCACACTCTTCACACTCTTATACTCTATGTTTTGGCCAGGGGAGGAAGTCCATGACCATATGGAAATAGAATCTTACAGGCTCCTGGGACCTTGCTCATATGAACTTACAACAATGGTGACAGCATGTTAAAGACCCATGCAAACTTAACCAACAAAAACCCTGCTCAGAACTGTGGAAATGAGCAACAGGCCCCAATCCTAGCCAAAGGACTATTGGGCAGCTGATTACTGCTGGGTGAGGAAGAGCTGATTTTCTTTAAAGGAGTGACTCCAGATAGGCTGACTAGACTACAGTGGATGAATTTGCATGGAGGATGTCAGTGAACACTAACTTGACTTGATAGACCTTAACATAAATTACAGAACTCATGAAATCCAGTGTATTTGGGGGTGGTTGTGGGAGGGTGCTGATAGGGAAGGGGTTATAAAAATGATTAAGATGTTGTGTATGAAATACACAAAAATTCAATAAAAATATACACAAAAATGTTTTTAAAAGTGACATTTCCTGTTTTAATTTTTAACATTTTTATAAAATACAAAATATTTGGTTTCACAAGGGCATTTTTAAACATAATTTGCTTTTGTTGATCCTCTTTCCCCAGTCTTCTCATCTATCTTTCTACCTTTCTTAGGCTGTACCACCTCCAGTGTCATCTTTTCTGCTTTCATGTCCCAAATGTTCTTTTATTTCCTCACTTCATCAAACCCTTATTTTACTTTCTCATACTCCCCTTTCTAGTTTTGAGACTTATGTATACACACACGTGCGCGCACACACACACACACACACAAACACACACACACACACACACAAATCTAGGATCCACATGTGAAAGAGAACATGTACCATTTGCCTTTCTTAATAAAGTTACTTCATTTAACATATTTTTCTACTTCCGTACATTTCCTGAAAATTTAGTTTTGTTTAACTTTACTTAACAAAATTGCATAGATATACCATGTTTTCATTATTCATTCATCAGCTGATAGACAGCTAAGCTGTTACCATGCAGTAGCTATTGGGAATAGAATAGCTGTGTACATGGCTCAGTATGGGTCACAATTCCCAGGAGTCATATAGCTGGGCCATATGATAGATCTCTTTCTAGTTTTTTTCTGGAGCCTCCACATACCAATTTTCATTTTGCAATATCACTTTATATTCCCACCAACAGTGAATAAGGGCTTATCTTTCCCTACACCTTTGGCAGAATTTTGTTTCAGTTTGTTTGGTATATTGACCAAGTAACTATGGAAGTAAAGAATGTACTACTTTTTACATTCAGGAGGAGTTGTGGTGCACACCTTTAATTCTAGCACTCAGGAAGAAGAGGCATGTGCAGGTCTATGAGTCCAAGGCAGGTTGGTCTACATAGTGAGTTCTGGGTCAACCAGGACTACAAGGAAAATGTTGCAAAAAAATAAATATGTGAGTTCCAGGCCAGCTGGAGCTACAGGGAAACCCTGTCTCAAAAAGACAAAAAATGAAATAAAATAAAATAAATATGCAAAGGAGAGGGGTATTTTGTTCCATAACAAAGTCCTCTTTTTTTTAGGCTTTGAGATTTCTGAAAACCAGAAGAGGCAGGCTGCACTGACCGTGAGGAAAGTATCTAAACAAAAAGGTAAAACTGTTTTTACTCCTTCGGTCCCAGTCACTGTATAAGTCTAGGAAGCCATAGGCTATGTGTTTTCATATTCTTTCACTCTTTTCTATACTGAGATTCACTTGGAATAGTTCCCAGATACCCAGGTATCAATAATAACAGGTAGGAAATGGTCTTAATGTCTTAATTCTCCAGATTAAATGTTGTAGGCTAGTGATGTCCATGGCAGTGTCCACAAAAACAAGGCAGAAACACTTTTCTCTTTATTTTTACTTCAAAATAAGAGAAACTTTGCTAACAATTTAAAGATAAGTAAGCAATAAATAATGTATATAAATTACTTTAATAAGTGGAAATATAAACTGATATGTACTCAGCTTTCTTTCAGTGTTCTAGAAGTACTTACCAAATAGTAGTCCCCCCCATCAGAATAAGCAGCCTCAAACTGAAACAAGAGCTAATATTCAGATAGTCTTTGTCTTCCTCTGAGGCATCCACTGAAGTATTTATAAAAAGAAAATGCATGTAAAATCAATTTAAGTCTGAAATAAAGGTTTCTTTTTTTATGAACCAGAACAAAATTAAAACGTTCAGCTGAGCAAAAAGAAGGAGCCACCTTCTGCTTCCTCCTGTGCCTAGTTAGTATCAAGTTTTTTAATTTCTTTCATTCCATCCTCATGGTAACCCAAAGAAAATGGAACTCTTAGATCCGTTTCTAAGTGAAGAAAGTGAAAATACCCAAGGTGAAATGATTCTGAATCTAAATTTTCTTGACTCTGAGACCACTGTTCTCGCCTCTCCATCTCAGGGTACTGATGATGATGTCTCTTGTTTGAAAGAGAAGCTCATTTGACAATATTATCTTAATTTCTGACTCCTGTTTCTGTTACTAGCAGTATTATCACTGTCCCTAGGGGATAGACAACATTAATGAGATCTCAGTTTTCCCAGCCCCTTACTTCTGCTCTCTCATGAACTCTGATTTTGAATAAATTATAGAAATGAGGGAGGAGACATTGTTAAGATATCTCCACTGCATGTCACTGGATATCCCCTTCCCATCCCATCTATAACTCCAATGGGAACTATCACCTCAGTCTCCTTTCTTGGGGAGAAGAGATATCTGGCTGATAGGAAGGCTTTCCATTTGGCTTTCACAGTGTCTTTGCTTTAAGAATTGATATAAGGGGCTGGAGAGATGATTCAGCAGTTTAGAGCACTGTGTGCTCTTGCAGAGGATACAGGTTCAATTCCCAGCCCCCAGTGATGTCTAAGAGCTGTCTGTAACTCCAGTTCCAGGGGAATATGACATCCTCTTCCGATCTCCGAGGGCATTGCATGTCACAGGTGCATATACATACATACAGGCAATGCATTCATACACTAAAAATAAAAATAAATAATAAATAAAATATTTTAAGAATTGATATAGAATTTCTTGGGGTTATATGCTAATACCCAATACATCAACACAATTGAATTTATCAACACAGAAGACATTAGGACCATGTGCACAACCTCCATCTCTCTAGGCTTTAGGGCCAGATCTAAAGCAAATGAATGCTCCAAAATAATTAAAACAATCTTTGGAAACAAGGGGAAAATGGGAATAATTAATTTAACTAATTTCAAAATTCATTATATAGCTGTATTAACCAAAGTAATGCAGTTTAGACAGAGAGAGATATAATTGAATGGAAAAGAGCTCATAAATAGACCTATACAGTTATGTGTAACTGATTCTGGACAAAGGCACAAAAACATTTGGTGGAGAAAATGCAGCCTTTTCAATAAATAGTGTCAAAAGAATCAATTTCCACGGGCAAAAATAGAACTTTGACCTAAACTCACACCTCGTACAAAAAGTAAGTTAAAGCACTAGAATCCTAAAAGGTATTTAAAAAATCTTTAGGCTCTAAGATTAAACAAAGAAGTTCTAAGATTAAACATTAAAATTTTAAACAGAAAAGGAAAATAAGATTGATAAAGTGGGATTTCCTCCCTAGTATCTCCATATTATCTGTTGGCATCTAATATACTCAAATATCTAGCACCTGCTACATTTCAAAACTCTCTTATACAAAAGAACCTGACTCTTCCTACTGGAGTGCAAATTGCTGAAGATAGCTTAATGATATAACTAATTCCAGGGTAACTGGTTCAAGTCATGAAACAAAGGCAAACAAAGAAGCTATTGTGTTGGAAATTTAGACATTAGGTAGTATATGAGGAAGACACTCAGAAGTGACAGAGGCATGTTTAAAGTATATGTTGTGTGTTCCTGAATTTAATATGCCTAAAGATTATACTTTGATTTTAGGCTCCCCCTGGTTCCTAGAATCCTCCACTAATGTGAGCTTTTGTTTATTGGTTGCAACCACCCTTAAAATTTTGAAAAGTTTGAAGAAATGAATCAGATGTTAAGAGGACAGACTTCTCTTTCTGAGGACCTGGGTTAGAATCCCTGCTTCCATATGGCGGCTAACTACCATCCTAATACCAGTTCCAGGGGATCCAACATTCTCTTTTGACCTCTGTGTGTTCTAGTTCTTGCTTTGTTAGACATGAGACCTTAGGTATAACATTTCTCTCCAGATTTTGGTGTCCTTGTCTGTAAAACAAGTGCTAGTAACACTACAAATTACTTGGTGATTCTTGATTAGATGGCAAAAGGTGTGGTGCTAAGAAATAGCTATGCCACTACAAATCTGTTAGGGAGAGAAATAATTTTCAGTCAGGCTGATTATCTTCAAATTGCTTGGGATCAAAAAGGCCTCAGATTTCAGTTTTCTGAATTTTACAGATTTTGCATAAACTTTCTTGATTGAACATTCATAATCTAGGAATCTGAAGTTTCAAAATATTAACTTTTCTCATTTCTAGCAACTTATGGATTTTGTAGAATTTCAGATTTGGAGATTAGAGATGTTCAATCTTTTGTGTGTTAAAACTTTCTAAACTAGTGACCCCTGAATTATTTTCTTAGAGGAAACACGGGGTAGTTTGAGAACCCATTTGATGCTTAACTTACACATTTACTTTTGATTTTCTGTTTACTCTAGGTGTCAACTCTGCCCGCTCAGTTCCTCCTTCTTACCCGCCACCACAGGACCCATTAAACCAGGGCCAATACCTGGTCCCTGATGGCATCGCTCAGTCTCAAGTCTTTGAGTTCACTGAACCGAAGCGCAGCCAGTCACCATTCTGGCAAAACTTCAGCAGGTTAACCCCTTTCAAAAAATAATACCTATAGGGAGGCAGGCAATTTTAAAATAAAGTAAATAAAATTATATTTATAGATGGACCTTTTTTCGGAGAAGCACTGTTGAAAATTTATATTTGTGTGTGTATGTGTGTGTATTTGTATATATATGCATACTTATATACATATATATGTATATATAAATACACACAGGTAGACCTTTAAGTATGCACATGTGTGTGTGGGGGCATGCGTGTACATGTGCATGGACATGCATGCACACATACATACATGAACACACAGAGAGAAGGACCAAAAACATTTTCTGTTGTTTTGGGGAATTGAAATCTGTAGCTGGTAGGAAGAAGTACCATTGACTTCAAAACATGTGGTGATCCCTTCTTAAAAGTTTTTAGTTCCTACCTTGTTCCTCTCCCCTTTCTTTCAGAAATTGACATTTCTCTTTGTTCTTTTTCTTGTTAAAATAATCTCTTTACTCCTCTGATTCACTGACTTGTCATAACTGAGTATTTTCATTGTTTTATTTCCCTTTCCTGATGATACTGATTCTGATGACTTTTGAATTTAATTTGATGTGGTGGGTCTAGACTTTCTTTTCTCTGTCACTTTTCACTGAGAAGGGGAAGATTCCCATTTCCTGTACTTCAAGCAACCATCTGCAAATATTCCTGTAGCCCTATGGTTATCCCAACAGCCTTTTCCCAGCATCCTGTGTCAACAGTTATGCCAGTCTAGACATGCTCTGTTGTGCCCTGTGACTTCTCTGCTTGGTATTTATATTGCTTTCACTGTGTTTTAGGTATTGTGGAAGGATATTAAACCAAAAAGAAGCAAGGGAGTGAAAGAATCTAACAATGGTAGAGAGACTTCTCTTCAGGGAATGTTATTGACTTAGGTGTTTTCTTCTAGCAATGAGGATTCCCATGTAACAGTACTGCTGCAGATTGAAGTCTGTCATCTGAGGGCTACTTTTGGCTAGTTGGTCTCTTTGCCAAGCCCCCATTATTATGAGTCTCCTTTTCAGCCTATCTCTTCCCTAGACAAAAAAAAAAAAGATCTAAACTGGGAGCAACGAAGTTGAGACTCAGTCTCCTGGCAGACGGATTTATCTCCACCCGCTCACCCCATACCCAGTAGGTAGGTGTCAGGTGGGGCTCTCTGAATAGCAGTCATTTCAGTGTCCTGGTCATCCCTCATTCCATTTGTAGATTTTTAAACAGCACTGATAGGAGTCTATGGAGGGGTTCAAGACAGAACCTACCTGACCAAGATCATCAGCTGCCTTCAAATTATTAACCTGGACAGAGTCCAAGACTGACAAAAACATCTTATAGGGAAACTTAAGGACCATTATCAAAAGAGAAAGGCTTGATCCAAGATAATGTACTTGCAGTTTTTAACCACCCCTCTTTTGGCGCTGTCCCCCATTGTTAGCAGATTGCATGGGTAATCTTTCCTGACCCTTTCCTTCCCCTTTCTCTGTTCCTTCTTTGTCTTGTCTTCCTGGCAGAGGAGAATTATGAGTATTGGCACAGTAACAACTTTTCTGGCACTCGAAGAAGGTCTTGTTTTTGACATCCTCCCATCCCAGAACAATGAAGGCAAGTGAATGAGAAGCCGAGGGCTAATTTTCCCTTTGGAGAAAGACCTGAAGTGGAATACTGAGCTTCATTCTTGGCAGGCTTTCCACTTGGCCAGAACTATTCCCACAAAATAGCAGAATTCCTATGAGTATAGGAGTATCTGCCTGCCTGTTCCTCCTCTCCACAATCTTTGTATGAATAGAGCCTGAATAGCAAGAACGGTCGGATATAAAGGAGTGAGGATAAGCCATACTGTAAGAAAAGCCACCTTAGTCGGGAATCTGGAGACTAAGAGTCTCTTTTGTACCTGGCAGAAGACTTCATCATGAGAGGACTAAAACTTACAAAGCAGTGGCCATGGCTGCTGCATGAGGTTTCAACACAGCTGGCTTGGGTGCTACTTTGTGCTTTCTGACCTAGACTAGGCCCTACCTAGCTTGGAAATCTTACAAATTATGAATTGTTGATGCTTCCATCCCGCTGTAGACAGTTCAGTCAAACTTGTATAGTATTATTAGGGCTAGCTAGCATAGGACCAGGGCTTGTGACTACCTTCCACTTCTCAGCATATGACACAGCTGTTTAAGCCTTTGTATCAAAGAGCCTGGTGTCTAAGGGGACCTGGTATCTAGCACCCAGGCTAAAGCTTCATCACTGGCAAACTGAATGTTTCAGTTGTTATGCAGGCCTATCTTAGTGTACCTTCTTTCCTACTTTGCCCCCATCCTCATTAGGCTTCACCTTGCCATCCTTCTCTAGGACTTAGGGGCACACCAGGAGGGGTTGCTTTGAAAAGTTGCTAGATCTATAGTATCTCTTGGCCAGACTCTCTCATTCTCTACCACTTTCTGAGGCCAAAATCCAGGGCTCCAGGATCAGGGGTATCACTTCTCATCATCCCTCTTCACCCAACCCACTGGCCTTACCAGATGTGGTAATTCCTGAAAGTACTAAGTAATCAGCTCTCCTTTGATTGGAATGCCCCATCCCATCCCCACACCTGTGTCTCAAAGTGGATCAGTGGCCAATAGCCCAAAAGAAAGCCCATTAACTACTTGGGCTCAGTACTTAATAAACGTATTGTATCCCCACAGCAATGCTATCTCCAAGATCGCTAGAATTCTCCTCTGTTTCTGCATGGCCCTGAGCTCCCCTTTCCTCAACACAGTGAGGCCTGAATCTTCTCTCCAAAAGGCTTTGCTAGTTTGTTCTATGAGTCCTACTGTGGGGAGGCCCTAATACAGAAATACGATTGCTCTCTCCTTCTCTCATCCTTTCTATGTGTATATCTTTAATTGATCAATTAAGGACAGCAACAAGAAAGTTCTAACAATTCTAGTATGAAGCCAAATAGTGATATTTTAGTGCTTTGGGGGCGGGGTGGGCTGGGTGGATAGATGGGCAACAGTGATTTTGACTACCCCTGCTGCTCTGCATTTGCCAGTTTATTCTTTTGTTTCTATTATCTGACAGTTTGATCCTGTCAAACAAGTGTCAAAATTGTGTATTTAAAAATGTTTAACAACAAAAAAAGATGTTGTAATGACACAAAGCCTTATGAAAATATTTATGGAGTTCAATAAAAGAAGTAAAAAGACTTTCTGGCACAGCTGTTGTGCCATTTGTGTGTGTGTGTGTGTGTGTGTGTGTGTGTGTGTGCTGCCAATTGCAAAATAAAAGAAATTTGTGTGGTGTGAGACTACTTATTCCAACCATCTTGACTTGCTTGTCCTAATGTTTCATTCCCGAACATTCCATGGACTATTGGGAGACATTCTATGTCATTTCTGGAAGTAAAATATAAGAACAGACCTTGAACCTTCACCTATGAGCACTTAATGTTTTATGAATGGGACTTTCTTTCATATTACGTGGTATTTTGCCAACATGTAAAGGTCCACTCCTGAAGTGGCTCATTTACTTGCAGTTACAGCTCTAATGCGTGTCCTAGATATTTGTGGCAGCTTTAAAATTGCCTTTTAAAACTAGTCAAAGGAGGCTGGAGTGATGGGTTCCAGTTCCAGGGGATCTGATGCCCTCTTCTGACCTGAACGGACATTGCATGGAACACATAGACCTACCTACATGAAGCAGAAATTAAAATAATATTTTAAAGTATTTATAAAAGTAAATAAAACTAGTGAAAGGACATAACACAAAAATCTCTCACTTTACACTCCTTCTTAAAGCCTTTGTTCCTGTCTTCTGAGGGGTATACCTTCTTACCTGTCACTGAGTAGGTAGAGTGACAAGGTCACTCTATGATGGTATTGCCTGTATTTACATACTCTTGGCTTTCCACTAGGCTTCCACATGGCATCTCCTGCTGCGTATCAGAGACCAAGTGGTAAGTAGATCTGGTTCACTGCATTTGCTCCAGAGTAACTCAACACTAAACTCTTTAAAGCACTTATTTATTGAAAGATACCAGATAATTGTTCAAAACAAAGTTAGAATATGAGCCCTTTTTGTCTAGACCTTGGGAGTGTCCTATATGTAAGGATTTTGGAAAAAAATAACTCAATCCTTCCTATCCTTTGCTATCCTTTACTTCTGTCCATCTCTTAGATCTCATCATTTAACACCTTTTACTGTCATGGTCCATTCCCTTTTACCTGGAATCTGTCAATTTCCCCCATCCAAATCAGCAAGGTTTTGTACTTCTTTTTGCATCTTGCCAATTCTGAACATTCCAGATTCCAGAAGCAATTGACATTTAACTCCTGCAGAGCAAGGGGACAGCATCTAGTCTCAGTCATCCTAGACTACCTTCCAAGTGTTTCAGAAGTGGGAGACAAATGCTAGGAGTCTAATAGTCTAGGATGGGCCAGTTCTTCTCTATAGTACCTGGAATCAAATATATCACTAAAAGAATTGTTTCTTGGGGCTGGAGAGATGGCTCAGCCGTTAAGAGCAATGGCTGGTCCTCTTGCAGAAGACTGGGTTTGATTTCCAGCACCCACATGGTGGCTAACTGCCATCCATAACTCGAGTTCTGGGGGAACCTGACACCTTCTTCTGACCTCCATGGGCATTACATGTCACTGGTGCATTTAGACAAATGAAGGCAATATACTCATACACATAAAATAATAAATAAAATTTAAGTAAAGAATTATTTCTTACAACCCCAATATGGTACACATAACAATTCCTTATTATTACTTGTGAATTTATTTGACAAGAGCATGTACCCACTTTTTGCCCTTGGTTTTATTATAAAACAGCATATATTCACAGATCAAACTAATAATGTGTCATTTAAGGGAAGTTCCTATGCCAGGCTACATCCATCTCTAGTCCTGAAAGAAAGCTGAATAATATTCAAACTCCATATCTTAAGTACCCATTCGGGGACAGAGTTTTGTAGGTTTCAATAAGGATATTAAAATGATGTTAGGATGTTTATATTACCTTAGTTATTCAGAGCATGATGTGGATGTATATGGATGGAGTAGGACAATAATGAATGAGCTGTAAGATTCTTAGAGAATACAGTGATTAATGGTGAGAAAAATCTCTTTACTGATAAGGGTGTTTGGTTCTACTATATTAATTAATAATCCCCAAAATCTCAGTGGCTTAACACAAGGAGATTTATTTCTTGATCATGCAAATTCTGCCATAGATTCAATGGCTCTCCAGGGAAACTATAAGCTGCTTCCACTTTATTATGTCTCTGTCTCAATATGTAGTTTTATAATTTCCAGAGCAACACAGAACCCAAGAATGTTTCTCAGCTCACTATTAAATTATCTATGTCTGTTGTGCGCGATAGTACAAAGGCCCAAAAAATGATCACATGCCTCACACAACTTTAAGGTAGCAGAAAAATATGAATTTCCTGTAAGCCTGAGGGAAGAGTAGTAGATATTGATAAACATTAGAAATCCATACCAAAAGTGGAGGATGTTTACTTTGTGTATCAAAAGATAAGGAAAATTTTATTAAGTTGTGATAGAGCATTTGAGAAATCAGGGGGATATCCATGACCACTATGAATTACTTGGCATAAGAGGTCTTCTATTTAAGTAACTCTCACTATGTGTGTCTTGGAAACAGTCAGAAAAACCACTTGTTCTCAAAGAAGTAAAAGCAACTTTAAGTTTCCTCAACACTCCTAGAATCTGCAGTATGTATACCTGCATTACATTTGTCTTTCCAAATGCACCTAGAATAAAGATTGAACAATGTCCGTGTAGGAGAAAGTGAGAAACTATTACAGCAGTAGGGACAGTGATAAGTATCTAAGCAGAAGAGAAAGCAATGGCTTTGATATTTCAGTCACAGCAGTGGTATAGATGCCATCAAAACTTGGATTCCTTGGAGGGTTCCCTTTGCTGACATTACTACATTACTGTCAAGTCCAGACTTTCTCAGGACTACCCTTAGTTCTGAGACCAATTACAAGTACAGGGATATCCGTAAGACTACCCTCATGTTCAATAATTTCTCAGAAATCCTAACAAATATTTAAATATTTAAAATGCTAGCTAATATTCATTTAAATAAATAAGTATTAGCTAGCATTTTGAGGGGTGCTTATTAAGGAGTTAATATCTGTAGTAGGTTTTTACAGAAGCCCAGGATAGATACGGGTATTTAGTCTCATTTTACAGATTAAAAAGGATAGAGTTAAAAACTTAGTGCATGAACTGGCTTAACACTCGGTCTTGCTCTATCTAATGTTGTTAACTATAATGGTGCTCCATCAAATCCTATAGC